ATTCATATCTTAAAAAATTCCTATCCTTATAAAAAAAAATATTCCACTAAACAAAAATTTTTCTCCAACAATGAAAATCAATTGCTAATGAAAAACAATAAAAAGAATCACAAAATTCACTTAAATTTCTTAGGTGATTTTTGTTTTGTGATTCTTTTGGATGAAGGTATGTAATAAAGATTGAGTTATTACAAGATTAAGAATAATTCACACAACCGCATTCACATAAATATTACAAATATAAATAATCTTTATTCAAATAAACTTAATATAAGCGCTTTTGAATAGTCTTTTTTTTATAATCACTCATTCGGAAAGTGGACTCACCAGAAGAAGAATGAGCACGAAACCTCCACGTTGATCTTTTAAATAAATGTTCCCAATATTACATTTTTAAGAATTTTGTGTGAATCCAAACTACTAAATGGCAAAGTAAACATTAATAAATAAATAGTTAGCAGAGTAGCAAAATAAATTGGTCATCAGAGCAGGCCAGTCCCTAAAGCAGCACCCGTTCAGGAGTATAACGGGTAAGCCACTCATCACTGCGCTTTGAGATTAACAGAAAACACTATCTCAAAATTATTCATTTTTGTAGTCAGTGCAACACTAAGCAGGATGTATCAGTTCAAGTCATTGCTATAAATAAATAATTATTACAGTAGCCAGATAACTCTAATCATTTTTGACATAATAAGTATTACAAACATATTACTTACTATGTTAGTGGTAGATATTACATATTATCTGTCCTATTATTGTGTAACGTCAGAAGAAACCGGTCACTGTTTTTGTTATCATTACAACTACTTCATATCCATATAATGATTGACTATAGCCTCCTACACCAGTCGAGCTAAGTTTGTTAACTTTGTACTCTGTAAATGGACAACAAATATGACTAGCTAAATAATTCATAATGACCTACAGTCAAATTATTAATTGATTATAATGACAGGTTTTTTTGTCAAGCATATAACTAGATTTTGATTCGAGACTAACAATAGACAACAATTTGACAAGACAAGACAAATCTACGGCCTCGGTGGTCTAGCGGTTTAGCACACCGCTTTACTTCCGATGGTTGTGGGTTAGATCCTCGTACGGCACAAACATTTGTGTATTCACGAGTATGATTGTTTGTATCGGTCTGGGTGTTTTCTATGTATATTACGTATGCATTTACAAAAAAAATATTTATGTTTATGTATTTGTATGAGTTGTCTAGTACTCAACTAGTATGAAAAATGTACCTATGTCAAATGTGTAAATGTATATTTATATCAATAATGGTTGTCAATAAATGTTTTTCTTTCTTTACTCATAACACAAATTCTACTTAGTTTAGGATTAGATGGTGATGTTAATTGTACTGAAGTATAATATTATTATTATTATTATATCTATTATCATTTAATATATGCCATCGACAGATGATCAAAAATATTATAATATTAAAATATTATAATTACATCAAAAATATTATACGTAGAAAACGTATACTATTTTTGATGTAATTGCAATGGTAAACACAATCGTGGACCACGTGATGGTAAATGATAACCGTCACCTATATGACCGTCACGACCAGCGCTCCGGATATCATGTTAACAAGTGATGCCTGTGTTACCACACCTGCGTTGTCATTCCAGAGGACTAAAATGGCAAGTCTCTTAATCCTTCAGATAGGTACTTGGCGGCGAAAAGGGCGAAACTAGTCTATGTCCGTATATTATCAAGAGAAGTGTTATATCATTTCGAAGTTTAAAAAAATCTTCATACAGGAAAAAACGAAAAGTAAACCAGAATATCATTTAATAATGTTGTCATAATTCCATTATTTTTAATTGGTATAATAATTTTTAATTAAGCAGTAATATTAAATGAAAAGCCTGTCAAAATTCATTAACTAATTTAGTAGAAGTATGAGCTATTCCAGAATATATTTATATGTATATGTTAAACAATATAGTGGTATTTTCCTGGTTGTAATTTTAAAAATCAGCCATTGGGACCCATTAAATAAATTATTCTGTAAGAAGCAATTTAAAAAAGTTTAAAATCACATACAAGTTCTTTTTTCGGACTACTAGTACTAATGCTGTTGGCCGCAGCTGGCTTTTACAGTTCACCGGACGATACGGAACGAGTGCAGATGGCAATCCAAACCCGCGTAAGAATGTATCCAGCGACTAAAAGCCAACTCCCGCCTGACGAATACGACTTTAGTCTGAGGGCACCGCTAGGGTTTCGAACCTCGGCTTATTAGTAGTCGTAATTTCGATCCCCGTTTGAATTGAACGTAGGATCGATCGGAAGGGCGACTCGAGGCACCGGTGTGGAGTGCACGAACGCGCCCTGTTGATTACGCGGTATGGTTATGTTTGGAGTCGTCGTCTTCACCGGTGGGGATGGTGTCGTGTGTTTTTGTAAAAATGTAGTCGAGACAGAACAGATGAACCCGTAGGGAGGTTAACTACCATTATGGGTCGTCGAAATCGGTGTGTAGTCCACCATTCTGACTATAAACGGGCTCGGAAAAGTTCTTGACTGTCACGAAATAACATACGTAAGATTCCGCTAAATTAACTTATTGATCATATATAATAACAAAAATCGTATATAAATAACAGTATATGAGTATTTAAGTAATTTTCGTTACTCATTTATGTTGTGACAATGTCTCGAAATATATATGTCTATAATAGTCGAGACATTATCACTACATAAATGAGCTACATGATAATATAACGACCACGAACGGTACGAACGACTACCACAATCACGATTTTCTCCAGTAGCGACATAAATGCAGGGATGGAGAATGCGCACACTACAAATAACTGAAAGATATTAGCAAATTATGTTGCAGGAATTAGTGGATAATGCCTAAAATGTATTCCAGATAGTCTGTCTGAGTCAATTTAGGTGTTCCAGTGGACAATCTAAGTCGAAGGTTGAATGCTGAAATATGATAGCGAAAAGTAAATGATGATTGGACTAAGGCTGAAGTCAGAAACAAAGTATAATTGTATTAATTGAATTGTAATTGCATTGAACTAGGTCGCACAAGCACGTAAACCGGTACGACGCCGCAGAACCAGTCATTTAGTAACTTAAATAATGACAACTAGATGCTATCAATATGAATGGATAAGAATAATGTTTAAATGCACTTTGCAGTCTCGATGATACTTGGATTCTCAGTTTTCAAAATGTACAAACGGTAATAATAGTTGGTATTTTGTGGTAGATGTGTACAATATCCTGTTAAAATCTAGATCGATGCTAATAATTATTTTTTAATAAAATCGAAAGGAATGTGATAATGTTATATGGGGTTAATATTATTATTTCTCGTTTCTGATTTCTTTTCTGATAGAATAAAAATAGATTAAAATTCTGTACAAATCCTACACAAAATTACATGCAGATTGATTTTATTTTAAAACTGGTTATACAGGGCATTAATAAGTTATCTTTAAGGATACATATTCATAATTAGAGTATTTTCCTGTCATTTCTGAATCCCTTCCTATTTTACGCAAGCAGGTTAAAATATTAAATACAAACAAAGATGCCAACATGAACGTTATTTACTGATATTATTTATACCATGGTCGACGCTATATTAGCGTGGTTTGTTTAGCAGCATATTAAATACTCTGAACGACCTTGTAGCCCACAATCCACAACGATAATACCATTGTAAAACGTCATTATAAAAGCGAAATCTAAATTGAAGAACAAAATACCTTTATTATACAACAACGCCGTTCAACGTTAGCTTTTAACAACAATAAAATACATATGCAAAGTTAAAAAATAAGATTACTTAATAATGAATTAAAATTGATGACATATTTGTCAGCAGTTGTTGGAATAATATTCGCACCTTAAGTATATATCATTAATATTTTTAGATCTATAAAGTTACAAAAGTGGATGAAGTATAAGAATTGCAAGTAAGGATAGAGGCCCATGGCTGATGGGGTTAATGCTGAGCATCTGTTTCCCATGCTACTTTTTTTCAAACGTTGTTTACCATTAGATTTTCCATACATATTAAGACTAAATAAATTTAATTATTTATTTATTTTAATTTTAATTCGGATTACATTCATATTGTGTTAGTAAAAAACTCATAAAACTATGTTAGTAACTTATAATATACATATACGTAGATATATTTAATTCATATATCTGTGTCCACGTCCAGAAGCACTGGGTCCACAATGCAACGTTATCCAGTGCCTCTGGAGCGGACAATCAGGTATATTCGCAACAGTTTTTAGGATGCTGTTTGAGCTCCCCCGAATTCTAGACATCAGTGATGCAGCTCTTTTACGCATTATGGCTTCAAATCCATCTACCCGCGCTGCTGCAAACATCTCTGATGCGCTACAGAACCGAGGGAGCCCCAACAACATCCTAAACCCATTATTATAAATAAATAGATATTATATTTAACACTAACTTTGCTATACTCATAAATTTTTATACGGCAGTAATTCTATAAACACAACAAATAGGTACAAATCGAAAGAACTATGTATCACGACAAGACACCTGTTGTTCAAACGCTAGGTTAATACTAATTAACTACATACGCTACGATAGGAATGAATATATGTAATTACATCAAGGTGAAACTTCATTTATATACCTACGCAAATATGATAGTCATGTACAACAACCGAATGCAATTCATTCCAAATCACATTCGAATCTCTATTGAATATTTGTTTCAATTGCAATTTATTATTCAAATCTCGTAATCACAATTTTGAATAAACATTTGCCTTTGTACAACGACAAGTTAAATAATATCATGGACAAATATAATCTAATCATATCTACCTATACTTATTTTAAAAAAGGCAACGCGATTATATTCGTTAGATAGGTACCTGTTATCTTTTCATGACATAGTCGTACAATGATAGTGAAAATATTTCGCTTACTATCTAAAAACGAGGTAAAAACAACTCAAAGCTCACCTTCGATATTTTTGTTTTTCAGATTCCACTGGAATGACTACCCGCTCCCTCGATTGCGAAATGCACCATTCGTTCACTGCACTCACTGTTAAGAACTCAGTTGAGGGTGCGTGGCACACTTCCGAACCGAACTCGTCTGATGATATTGTTATGCTATCGTACTTTTGGTAGGGCACCATGTCTAATGACGATATAGATTTAATACTAATATTGTCAACATTGTCCATATTACTTGCACTATTTTCACTAGAATCGTCTGAATTAATTGAAACATTGTCCTGCATCTCGTCATCTTCATTTATTAACGTATCAGTGGAATGGTCCGTCGATAAATTATCCGTTGCATCGTCTTCTCTATTTACAACATATTCCGCACCAGTATTCGATTTTTCACTATCACTACTACTACTACTACCTTCGTCTGAATTGTCACCACTATCACTTTTTACTTCCTCCTCGTTGTCAGAAGGTTCTGATCTTTTGAGTCTTAGTAACTTTTCTAATGTAGTCTGGCTAACACCGTACGTCCAAAGCGTTTCGCCACCTTGGAGGCCAAACAAACCTTGGTTTGTTTGGCCAATTGCCGATGATTTTCTTCGCATAACAGGCGGTGGACGCGAACGTCGTTTTGCAAGAGGTGATGTGTTGGGTGTTACATAGGAATACCTTCTTTCCGTCACACTTATCTCATCCGGCGCAGGAGATTTGCTTTCTGTTGAAGAATTGTCATTGAAAGGTTCAGGTGGCGGTGGGGCAGGTCTGTGAGGCTGTAAACTTGTTCTGCCTGACTTCATATCAGAAACGAAACCAGATGAACTCGAATCGTATCCATTTTCCGATATGTTAGATAGCAAAGAATTCACTGATACGTTTGAATTCCTATCTTGAGATTTAGTTACGGGATACAAATGCTGGAAATGAGCTTGTATCGGGCTAATAACACTCGGTAAACTCAATGTATCTTTGGGTCTCTCCAAGGATTCACTAGAACCACGATAACTGTTACTTAAAGATGTTTTTTCAAAACGAACTATCATATCTTTCACTCTGTTCCTTCTTAGTACAATTTCGTCGTCATCGGAAACATTCCCGGATGACGATTGAAACTCGTCATCCGGACGACCGTGAAGTCCTTCGCGTGTCATTGCAAACTGCTGATATTTTAGGTGAGGATGAAAACACAGGATCTTGTGGTCACATATCAAGCGCACATCAAATGCGCAAACTGAACGCGCACTCTGTCTCGTAACCAAACACGACTGACAGCTCAGCTGACACTCCAACACAGCGCTCGCGCCTCGAGACTCGCGGCCGTGCACACAGTGCGGCGCGGAGACGTGACGTGAATAATTAACTTTCACGCAACGATACAGACACGCTACACGTACTTATATTATAAATACGAAACAATGTCCGTTTATCTGTTTCCTTTTAATATGAATATATAATAATGAAAAAGAAAAGCAAAGAAAGCACATGAACCATTGTTTATTTTTTCCACACTCACACAGCGTCAGTTGTCAGAAATCCTAAACTATGCAGAGCTTCTGCTGTAGGTTCTAAACAGTATAGTGCTGAATAGATATACTTAGTTGTTTTTATACATACATAGTACACATAGAAAACACCTAGACCAATAAAAAAAACAAATACTCATGAATACAAATGTTTGTACCCTGCTTGGAATCGAACCCGCGACCAAGTGAAGTAAAACGCTGTGTGCAGCTACACGACCGAGGCCGTCATAATATATACATTTTAATCAATACATGTTACGAAAACAAACCCAAATATACCGAAACCCAACGTAATTCCGTTAAATTAATATATTGTAGAAACGTATTATACATTTCTTTGTTTTTCTTATTATTAAGAAGATAAAAAAATAGATACTTGCTATATATTTTCCTCGGTATAACCACAATAATATTAACTTTAAGTAGTAGGTATTCAATATAAAAAATATATACTTTAAGCAGTATGTGAAAGATATATATCTATATGTCATGTCTATGTAGTGAACTTTGTAACAGATAGCTATTAATAGCCCAAACACCTCAATAAAAAACTTTAAAGCACTCTAAAGCTAAAAATTATTATCTGTATTATCTCGGTAAGTGTAAACGAACCTTTTTATGTTATACTACGTATCGTGTTTGAATTTAATATCATACTTTACTTTAAAACAAAGAACTGAGATTACGATAAGGTATTGGTTGCGACTTTTATTCATAACAAAATTGTTATACACATCCACTTGAATTAAATAACTATACCATTTATGTGGTGACCAAGAATCTTTGAATATACAATGTTGGATTCACCCAGTGGCGTAACTACCTAGGGGCTAGGTGGGGCAGTGCCCCGAGGCCCTCAAGCTCAAGGGCCCTTGAACCCTTACCAGATTGAGCTGAACTTTAGAAAAATTCTCCCATCTTGAAATAAATATAACAGGTTGCAACCCGACTTTAATCATGTCAACTCAGATGAGAGAAATTCGAAAGTTATACCTTCGGAATTCCCCTAAATTCTTTCTGAGGGTTGGCAGTGTTGTCAATTTGACGGATAGCGATATGTGCGTTTTAATAAAACTGTAATGTTTTGAAACCCCAACTTTTGATTTGCCCTAGGGCCCTTAGTTACCTAACTACGCCACTAGGTTCACCATGCCTGCACTACCAGTATACGATGCCGTTTTATCCTCATACACTATGTATCAATCAATAGTAATTGATCAGTTTTATTTTGTATTTATGTATAGATATAATAAAATATATACGTTTTTGTGAGGTTTCCAGTTTAATTTACCAATAAATCCGAAGCTTTACTCGTTTGTAATTTTTAATTGTCTCAGATAATAATCTTAATCTGTTCTTAATTTTTAATATAAACAATTGCCCAATTCGTTTATATTTTATGCATATATACATACAAGAATTAGTCTAGCCATTCAATGAGGGAACGCTGCCAGTATTTTCGGAACTTGGCCTAAAGGGACTCCTTGTAATAATATATTTTAGTTATTATATTCTATTTTTTAAGCTTTTTAATTTTAGGTTCTTAGTAGTACAACTAAGTTATGTAAATAAGCTATTACTTACTCTAGTTATCTTTACATCAATTTACATGCAAATAATTTTAGAGTTTAATGGTGAGAATATCTACATTGAACAAATGCTAATACTCTATGTATCCTTTTTACAAATGGAAATATAGACATGATATCTATACAAGAATCTCTTGTGTAAGATATATTTACTGGTGGTAAAGTTTCAAGAAACTCGCTTGAATAAGTAATACTCTCTATTTCTAAAAGTAGTATTTGTGTAGCATTGCCGTTTTGGTCTGAAGGGTACATAGTCAATATAATTTCTGATACAAAAGACATAAATTATTAATTACTACTACCCAATATGTGTAGGTATATTCGTAAATGTTCTATGTGACAACTACTCCGCTGAATAACCTCTACTCGCAGTTTATAAGTTTAAAAAAACTAGTGTCTTATTCTGAAACACCATAATAAATACGTAATAATAATATCTGTTTAACTAGTAATCATATTGTTGTCTTTTTCTTCAATGCGACTTAGCAACTTTTTTTAGTGGATACCTCTTTTTCTCTTGATAAATCCTTGATTTAACTGTCAAAATTTAAAATTATCCAAATTTAAATTCCTAAATTTCGTAAGTTATTGCCAGATATTTTTTGTAGACGTTAAGGGTATGTATATGTACATATAATCGATTATTCCTCTTTAAATAAATCTTGTAAACAATAACTAAAAAAAGTTATTTATAAGGGACGCATATGTCATAACAAATGATTTTTGTTAAAACCACAATAAAACATATAGATAGAATTACAGAAAGGGCTAAAAATAAATAAACATAACAATGTAATGAATTTTCAATTTAATGAACAATTTTATTGTTTTTAAAGCAGAATAAATTAATAATAAAGTGATTCCTCATTCGATATATATTTTTATGGTGTATACGATTACTATACAATATAATGATAATGCGTATGCTTGTCTCAGTTTGTCTCCTTCAGTATACTCATATAGTCCTATTATTACTAGAACTATTTATTAATGAAACTCCCTTAGAGGTATATGTCTATTGTATATTATAATCGTACTAAGTGCAGTAGACATATAAACAAATTGATGATTAAATAAAAAATAGATGTTGATGTACATCTTAAAATTATTTAAACAATAAATTAAATTATTTACTCAATTTTAGACAGTGCTTGCTTAAGCCAAATATTATTAATGATTCGTTTTAATATGCATTGTATATTGTGAAATATATATGTATGTATACAGGTATAATAAGTCGAATGCATTGTTAACAATTTCAGATTATGGGTAAGAATTAAATAGAGGTATAGGTAGAAAAAGAAACGAGATTATTTTAATCGACTTCCAATTTTCTAAAAGACCCTTCAACTCCAAACAATTCCGAGCTAGTCTTCGGTTTCCCAGGCCTTTTCGATTCATCAGAAAACACACTCTCTTCTTTTAAAAACCAATCGCGGTAGCTTTCCACTTTAGCTTTCCAATGATCTGTAAAAACCAAATCCGTACTAATATTATAAATGTGTACCTAAGTGTGTCTATATAATTACATGTTATAATCAACTACAATGGTAAACAAATAGTGGATCATAATAAAATAAGGTATGAAGATACATTGTATCACGAGGACGGATATAAAACGTTACGCTAATTCACTAGAAAAGAATTACAATTAGCCTACTCCTATGGGTATGGTATGATCCCATAGTAATGTTGTCGTTATTACTATTGGGAAAGACTCCCATAGCCTTTTGTATATACTACATTCCTTCGCTTATCGGAGTTGGTAATTAGAAGGCCACAGTCAGCTATTGGGTAGCTATTGCACTAATATTGCAGCTCACATTTTTAAGTCTTTTAAATCAGTCTTTGCTTTCCACTATGCTCCATAGTAGAACCGCTAAGTTACTCTGTGACATTATAACAATCAAAAATCTTGGGGTGTCAACGAATTGCGTTAACTTTGTCACATTGTATAACAGCGAAAATGTATGTAATTTTTAGTCAACAGAAACAACATTGTATTGTTAAGCTATAATGTATCAGATAACTTATATAATATCGTATACGTATGTAACATTTAGTAATGAGGTACCAAGCCATTTTTGTCAAGTCATGCAGCATCTACGTATTACGTATACATATCTAGCGAACAGTCGTTACGTACGGAATTCTATTTTTCAGTGATAAAATAGAACCTATATCTTAAGATACACCTTGAACAATGGATCGGTGAATACTGTGATGTTAGTACAAACATACAGACAGACTGATCAACAATATACAATAATCTATTCTGACTCCAATTACTCTAATGAAGACCCACATATTAGTTTTGGAAATTTATTAAATCTACATATTTTACAAATATACCTGTAAGTTCTTGAACAGTGCCATCATCGCCACCATACTCTTTTGGAAGCACCGATTTGGGGATAGATTTGTACATATTATTGTAATTTTGATTGTGGACTTGAATCTGCAAAATTTAATACATGACACAATTAATCGTTGTGGAAAAATAAGTGTGTAATAAGATATATATTGCTGTCTTGCTGTCCACGTACAAAATGACGTGTAATTTATTTTTATACCATCGGCGACAAACAAGCTGGCGGCTCACCACCCGTGATTACCACCGTCCAAGAGGAACACTAGGAGAATTAAAACTGCGTTGCCGGCCTTTTAATAAGGAATAAGCTATTTTTTTATTATCCTATGGGTTATGAAAAACCATTGCTAGAAGGAGATTAGACAATGTGCAGGGCCGCCATTGATACAGATGATTAATATGATACTTAGAATTTTCTTGATATATTTATTTATGTAATTAAATTATATCTAAATAAACGTAATATGCTTTAGATATTTAGGTCTATTATATATTAGTTTTGTAGTAGTAATTTCTCTGAATTATAATGATGTTAATATGATATTATAAATTTAGACCTGTTAAATAATTACATAAAATATATTTTATCTTCTATTAATATATTATCCATAACATTAATAATAGCCTGATGTTCATAAAATTTACCTATTCCAAATGTTTAGATAAGTAACTACATTTGATAAACTAAATCCATTTTAATGGGATTTTAATAATTTCTTCGCAATAAGCCTCAGAGAAAATATTATTAAATTAATTCGTATAAGTATTAGTACGAAAATTTAAATGACATTTCGTAATTATAATTTAATAGATATTATCTATGCTTTTAATATATCATACAAAGCTGCCCTCGCTCCAATTTTCGACGATAATCTTAAAGATTACAATATATCACTTATACGAATATTAAATAAAAACTTACTCTTTTCTTTAATTTTTCTCCTAAGAAAGTTTTTAGAATAGCGAAAGCCGTCTCAAATCCAGATGGTGTATTTAAAATATGATTTCCTCTAACTCGTACTGGAAGCGCCTTTTCAAAACAAGCTATAGCTTTTTTGGCTAGCGCTGGTGTCCATTGGCTTAAGATACCTACACCTACGTCCTTCATATCAATGATGACTTGCTGGAAATAATTATTTATTTGCAGTCTCCACCAATAAATACAATCTAAACATATTGAAACATTATTTTTAATTTTATATAAAATATGTAATAGCTGAATTTAAATTCATTGTTTTATGTATATGGTGTTGTTTGTTTACAAGAATCGGAGATCACAAGTGATATCTAAGGTTCACTTATTTAGTTATTCATGTTTTATTGTAGGTACATAATTGGGTATTTATATAATTATCTGCGTGAATGTGTGAGTTGTTGGTAGTTTAATAAATACCTAAATAAATTAAATTTGGAATATTCTAATCAAATAATATGGACAGGTTTTAATTTTCTTTATATTATAATTATTTATCATAACATTATAAACCCATTAAAAGTAGTCGCTGGATATTTAGACCTAACCGCATTTAAGTACGTTTAAGTAGGTTTTTAGAGGGTTTTGAATGATGCCCAAAGACATTCGTACTGCAATACTTTCTTTAACCACCTGCCATTCTTATTTTTCATGTCTCCAAAGTGTATCTACACTAAGGTTAAAGGTATAACAGATTATATTATCATAATGCTCCACTGGTACTCTTCCAGCATATACAGTTAATGCAGACGAGAGCATCATTCCATTATAATCCATAAATAAAATATTTCTAAACTAACGCCATACGCGACCATATCATCAGTAAGTCCTTTTGTTACCTAATATTTAATCTATGTTACATCTTACCTCACCGGCTACGGTAAAGTTGTCATCTTCTAGCATTAAAATCTCGGTAACCATAAAAGAAACTTTTATCAAATCTGAAAGGTGATATTGGGATGGATTGAACACACCGATCCTAATTATACTGGTACGGAAAGAATCTTCGCTCTCACATTTTCTTAGGGGCAAGAAAACCCTGAAATAAATATTTAATTACATGTTACTAACTATATAATATATATAAAAATATAGACATATTATATATCTAAGTATAATTATTTTATATTATTAATTACAAGTTTTTTGCTAGTAATTCTAAAATTTTGTAGTATTATGGAAGCACTTCTTTCCATAATGCTACAAAATTTTAGAATTTTTTTTTACTACCATAAATCGAGTAATTCTGAAATGTAGTTGCTTTCGAAGCACAGGTTTACCTATTTTGGAAGCCCCTGGCTTTTTAATTCTGGAGTAATATTTTTGTAGTACATCTAATAAACTTATACATAAATCGTTTATTACGCAAAATTCTGTAACAATAGAATTGTGCACAGGACAATTCGTATTCGTAGGTAACATATTTTTAGACACCATATTTAGCACTGTTGCTGCGAATAGTTAATATAGGGAGATAATTATTTTAGAAACCTGTCTTAACTGCGCAGCCTCCCTGCGCAGTTAAGACAGGTTAAAGTGAGTATTGTAAAAACCGGTTTTTACAATAAATAAATTTCAATAATAAAAATATTTACCCCAGTTTAAGGATCTCTTGAACTCTAGTATCAAGTGGGTCTGTATTTGAGAAAAACTCGGGAACAAGTGACTTTAGAGTATAAAACATGTCAAATTTTTCTTTACTTCTCTCAATGCTAAATTTACTCCCACGAAGAAATGCGATAAGCCATTGATCAGCTGTAAGTACATGAAATAAAATGTGTTATATTTTACTCTATATTTATAATTTAAAACATGTGAATAGCGACATCTAATATATTATTCTGACACTGCTAATCAATAGAGAAGTTTGATGCTCCGAATGAACTTGAAAACAAATGTTTAATAACTTTATCTATTCACTACAGATGGCGCTGTCAACATTTTATGATAAATGATTCTTAGTGTTCTACTCCACTATCGGTTTAATACTAAAGATAAAAGAATATTACATATTAGTACTAATGAAACCTAAAAATAAAACTGAAATGTGCAATTTTATTAAACTACTTAGTCATTCTCAGTCATTCTTAGACACAATGTGTGTGTTACCAGCATGGTAACACGCCTTTGCAAGTATTATAAAATTAACTATAATCACATCCAGAAGCATACTCTTTATCAGTTTGTCTAATATATTCATTACGAAAATAAATATTTTCGTTAATATTTCGTCAATAGTTTCCTATCGTTATCATAGATTATTTATATAGTACTGAATTCTGATACCTACTCAGCTCGTAGTTATATAATTATATACACAATATATAGTAGTTATATATACATATTTAATGTTGAAACGTATAATTAAGATATTGTATATCGTTATATGATATTAAAATGGTTGCCAAACAGGTGGCATATGGATCCCTATGTACATATATTATGTGTACACGGGGGGGCCTATATGTATAGTTAGTATCCTTTTTATACATTTAATTTAAATGAAAAACAAGGTGACCGTTGTCTACATAGGTATATACATGAACAACACTTTAAGCATTACGTTATCATTAACACCCGCGATATGAAAAAAATTGAAAAAATATCAATAGGTCAGTAATATGATAAACCCTAAACTAAATCCATTTGTTTCGGTACTCTACATCTTTCTACATAATGTTTCTGTACCTAAGTTATTGGCACAATTAGTTTAGAAGAAAATATTCTGTATTGTGTAAGTAATGTACCTAAGTGTACGTTTTTTTTTTCGTCTAAAAAGTGTAAAAACACACTAAAGGACGGAAAAGCAAATACGTAAATGTGATACTAAACCTAACTAGCGACTCGTCTCGATTTCGCATAGGTGCATCACAACATTTTTATTTTCTCCGCTTTTCTATACCATGATATATATGTATATAGATATTATAAGTACAAACATACTTCTTGTATTAGTTTATATATAGCTGAAAACTGCATTAAAATCCATTGCGTAATTTAAAAGATCAAAGCAAACAAACACCGGCGGCGACATCGTTATAAGTATATTTTCTAAAAAAGATGACCTTCAAGTAATCATGCAACAAAACTTACAAGGCTGTACCGTGTGCAAATGTGGTTGTTTAGTTAACCAGTTCCTGAGTGCTGTTATATCCGAGTCTATCCTTTTAGAGTTTTCATTGATCTCCTCGTTGGCTCTCTGCTGAAGAGCTGCAGAAAGTGGTCTAATTGTCATCTTGCTCGGAATTCTTCACTGTAAAAACAACAAGAAAAAAAGAGCTCGTTATAAATCATAATTTATAAATTTCTCAAAATCTTAATCTGTTAGAAATATTATTTTAGACTATTTATATATTTTATATAGTAGAGAAGTGTATAGGTATATGTATAATATATCTACCTGGGTATCTGGAGTACATCACGCGTATCACCCATGGATGCTCCAATACCACCAGATATTACCAAATGCTGCAAGTTCCGATTCAAACGAACGATCTCCAGAAAATAGTTCATATAATTTGACTATTTATATGAACAATATTCACTACTTGCATTTCTTTATCAGTGCGTTACTTAGTTTACTCGTAAATAGTTAGGTATTTATTTCAGGCAAAAAAAGTGCTACATAATATGATAAGGTATGAGCACTAAGTACAAAACATTGGGTTACTATAGCATCCTCAAAAATATTGTAAGTTTAAAAGCAAGTTTGTTAAAAGAGTATATTTTAATTTCATCGGATTTTTGTATGTATGATGGTGAACATATCTCGTGACGAAAGGATTTCAGTCTCTTCCCAATCGTACATATTTGATAACTGGCAGATAATCAGTTTATCTTTATTTAAGCAATTAGTACATTTTTATTACAGTTTTAAATTATATTCTTAGGAGTATACTCAGAAACCTAAATAACAGCAGTACACATAAAATTACGCTATGATAATAATGATATGATATCTTTCATAGTTTCCACGTTCAATGAAACAAATCAATATATTGACGAATGTACTGATGAACTCACGTAGATAAGTAGTTCAAAACTTTATACGGCAGTATGACATAATGATTTATTAAAAAAATAAATAAGTGTATCTATCATATACACATATGTCTTGTTTTACTTGTTTGAAATGTTTTATTATCCTCGCTGAACTTCGACTTAAGTACTATTAATGAATAATTAAAAGGAAATATATTGTTTAAATATGCGTATAGGTAAAATAGCTCTTGATCTCAGCCAATACCCCTGTCAATATGCAACAAATAAATTTAGCAAATTCGTTGATTGTTGAAAACACTAACTTCTTCATATCAAAGTCTGTAATAGACTTTAGCATTTGCATTAAAGAATTTTGGAAAATACAATATTCTATGTAGTGATGTAGTATGTATGTCTACCTCTCTCGTTTACATTCCTATTCGTAAAAAGGTACATGTTTAAGTTTTGCAATAAAAAAAAGATGAATATTTTGTTTGTTAATGTTACATATACTTATATTGAAAACTACACAGTTTTTAAGACAGGTCATTAACATTATGTACTATAGCCACTGTAAAGTTTTCATCTACCATTGCTTCCTACCAATTATGTTATCTGTGATTCCTACCTACCGTCACCCCTCAGCTCAACCAACCATAATGTTCATCATCTACCACATATTCCATCCAACTTTTCTTGGTCTTTCTGCCGTTTTCCATATAATCAAGATCATATCCATCTCCTTTTTAAAACATGTCTCGGGACTACCCCATGACATCCATGAGCAAGCCAAGACAGTCGGTAGTAGGTGTTACTATTGCGAATTTCTGACTACTAACTAATGAACTAATGACCCTGACTAATGCAGAATAAGTTCATTCATAGTATCAATAATTTAATTTATTCAATGATATATCATTGTAATGATATATTTTATTTTGAAAGTAATAAATTTGTTACAAATTAGATATTATATGACTGGAGGTAATTTTTATTTTCCCTAGAAACAAAAAAAGACTACTGCTAGTTTACTAGCATATAACATGTATGATCCCATATAAGTAGTATAACGGGTTTAAATAGTAGGTAGTATTAGTAATTACAGTATTAATGTCACATGGGTTGATTTAGACTAACATCCACGACATTGGTTAAGCCACAAGATATGGTTATTATTCATCAAAATATTAGTAGTTTCTTCAGCAAAGAATTGGATTTAAGTCTTTGCTTAGAATCTAACAATTTACTACAGAACATTGGCTTAAACAATATGAATAATTTGTCCTTTTAAACATTATAATATAGCTAGTTATTGTATTATTTATTTAGTAAAATAGATAGACGTGCTGTAAATCTCAGTACTGTAGTTCAAGGTCGTTTAAACAGCAAATATTGTACACTGTATATAAAAATACGTTATCATAGTTGACAGTCAGCTGAACGGTTTCCTAGAAGTTCATTCACACTTGCTCTCCAAAGATAACTAACGTACATAGTGATATATAGTAAATAAAACCACAGACATCAATATTACACTAAATCAAATTTAACTGCCTTCGTCTATAAATTATTTTCTTATTGCTGTCTGGATACCAAATATCTAGAATACAGTACCAATATTATATAAATCCTTTGTCTTATACCAAGTTTTCGACATATAAATATCGAAGATATGGGGCAAGAAAATGGCAGAGTAATACAACTATTAAACAGATGCCACTTTTAAGTCACCGTCTACATATAGTTACAAAAATAACAAAACTTACCTTACTTTTCCTAATTGAGACTAAAATCCATGAACACCTTTAAAAATAGTGTTTCAATTACTTTGTCAATACAAAATTACGAAATCCAATCACTGCCATTAATATCCAGGAACGTACTAAGTAAAAATTATGTATATTTACACATTCGCTTTATCGTTATTCCGTTTCCATATCACCTAATATTCCATTTGTTTTCCTCCTATTACAATATCGGCCTTCTATTCCATTGATAAGGCTTAAAATCAGAGACACCACTGCGGCGGAGGCTTAACTCAAACTGACTAATGTATGTATGCGTTGGCTGTTTCAATATGTTAATTATATCTCATTTAACAGCTAACATTTAGAGATGCTCGTGTTTCTTGCTAGTGTGTGAATACTGTCAATTAGATAAGGCTCTAATTAGGACCATTTAATATTTTTCAATGCGAATTTTGTTTAAAAAATCAGGTTATAGATTATTATTATAACTTCTACAATAATAAAAATACATTTATAGATTTTAAACATTTATGTTCAAATATGTCTAGCAAAATATTATCAGTGCTTCTGACTACCCCATCGGGAGGTTGCAATAGTGCCGTATACTCTTTATTATTACAATACAATTATATTTATTGAACTACCAGAGATTTTTATCCACACAGGTACACTAAATTCAGTCGTATTTCGCATTATATTCGTTATTTTCAATCAATATTATTAAAGAGGATTTTCTATGATCTCAAATTCTTTTTGTTATTGTAATTCAATATTTCTGTCATCAGATATTACTGGTATATATATTACTCGTAACTCAGATGTACTATATCTACGATTTAACTCAAAACCTCAGTCATGTAAGTCACATTAGTTATCGCAAATAGCACAGAAGATTTTCTCTTTCTCTTTCATATACGTTAAATAAAAACACTCTTGAAAGGTAACTAGAATACAACCACATTATACATGCAAAATCTATTTCAGGTTGGTTTTCTGGTTGGCAATTACTATTTTGACAATAATTGAAATAGTTTGTTAATATATTGACTTTAATTGTCTCGTTCTCTTAGGTATATGTACATAATTTAGTTAATTCTGTTACTAACTGTTAGTTTTGTTCAATTATCTAGCTGGATTAGATACTAGAGAGCAAACAGTAGGTACCACTAATTGCTCTATAACCATAGATACTAAAAAAAACAACTGACTAGGAATAGTTATGGGACACTTTAATACGTCATTATCAGTTAAAGTTGAAAATATAACATAAATTAAATAATATTTTACAAAGAATATATATTATAAATAATTATTTATCTTTTAAGCTTAACTGTTATTACTTAATTTAAATGATTAGGATGTAGTTTTTGCAGTTATGTCAATTAATTAATTATAAATATGATTTAGTAAATAAAATAGTTATTTATCTAATATAAAAACCAACACTAAACATAAACAATTTCCCATTTAGGTGCGTGAATCTCGTGGTTTTTAAAGCAAATATATGGCACTAATCTATGTCAAGTTTTCTAAATGATCCTTGATTACTGAACTCGTCATAGTTTGCCAACTTTTCTAATCGCTTGGACTCGTCGGTACCAAAATTTTCCTCTTGTTTCATCCACGGCTTGTACTCATTCACTTTGTTAACCCAATATTCTAAAAAAAATGTTTATCTTGTTATTTTTTTATGCAGATACTATACTGATAGAGTAATTTCTAATAGATTGACTAGTCAACAATCTATATTAATAGATCTGTGACCCATTGACTCAGTGGTCTAGCGGTTTAGCAGACCACATTACTTCCGATTATAGCGGGCTCGATTCCTATGATACAAACATCTGTATTTATGACAATGATTGTTTATATTGGTCTGAATATTTTCTATGTTACATATGTATGTATATAAAATGAATTTAAGTCATTCTATAAGTTGTCTAGTACCCATAAAACAAGCTCTGCTTAGTTTGAGACCAGATGGCGCAGTGCGAATTGTCCAGGGCTATTATTATTATTTATTATTCTTGTGTGTACTAACCAATAATTTCAGACACAGTGCCACCGTCGCCTCCATACTCAGCAGGTATTATTTCCTTAGGAATAACCCTTAATAAATCATCTTGATTTTTGTGAATGTTTAACTGCAATGAAATAAAGATTATAACATTTAACAATTTTTTTTAAATATTGTATATATTGTAAAATTGTATGGAAAATGTAGACTTGTTAAAGAATTGTTATGTGACGTAAATATCTACCTATATGAGGGACTAAAGACTAACGTGTAATAAGTAGGTACAAAAATATTTGTTAATTATTGTCATTATTTATTTATAACATCTACATACACATATATTAGTAAATTAAGAGAAAAAATGTTGTGCATTTAAAAGATAAAAACTGTAGCATCTCGGATATTAATATAATGGTTCTATTTATGCTTTTCATATTCTTTTCTTTTGACATTGTTTTGTAACATTTTTCTACATACAATATCTAACAGGATGGAAGTATAGTACCGAGTTACTCGTTTCCAATTTAATAGAGAAAAAGTATTCCTATAAAAATAATATATTTAGAATATAAGGAAAGTGTAGTAAATATTAGTTCTTTTTAATTAGCTTTTAAACCCAGAATTATACAGTGAATTTTCCAAAGTTTGTAAATTTTTGAGTAACTAGACTAACTAAACTAGAGAGTACTAGGTGTGAAGCTACCCAAGCGTTTTCATTTTAAGAACATGTCATGCCCCTTATCCTCAAATTTTACTGCTATTTAACCTTCAACCTTCCAAAACCCAGCTTATAAAGCAAGCCATTTGGCAGCGGAAATAGTTGAGGTTGAGGCACCCTCACAGACGATTTTTTAAGTTTATATCAGTAATTTACGGGGAGTTTTTATTGCAAAACGCATAACATTAACTTATATGGGCTCCCACTCTTTCTGGCCTCTATAAGAAAGTGTTTGTAATTATTTAAGTAAATATGTAGATATAATGCTATATATATATAATGGCTTAGTTCACAATTGTAGATATATTAATTTATCCAATTACAGAACACTGATTTTTACTGCATGATAAAAGAAATCAGATTGGATTAAATAAAACAGCAGACTTTTAATCTAAAACTCATAAATTTAGTTTCGTACATCTGATTTGTACATGTGTGAAGTATGCCATTATTTTAATGTACCATATCAAATAAGATAAAATAACATTCATACGTACTCTCTCTTTAGCCTTTTCATTTAAGAAAGTTGAAATAAGTGAGAAAATTAAATCGATGCCGGAAGGAACCTTTATGTGATGACTACCTTTCAAACGCAAAGGCATTGAATCCTAAAACAAATACATTAAATAAATAAAAAGTTATAATATACTGTAATTAAATGAGTAAATACCTATCTATTTATAACTTTGTTATCTACGGACCCACCAAAATGCAATCTAATCAAAAAGATTACGGTTTGTGATAAAAATTGCGAATCAATATTCTCATACAGTTATTGCAGTGCATTTCGGAGAATTTAAAAATAAAATTTAAAAACAAATCAAGATAGATAATCTTTTGTGAAGTTAACATCGAATAACATACCGATTATATTGTCCTTGAACTTTGTTCTGCATTGATGAAGAAATAAAAAAACTAATTTATAAATCTATTAAGAAAATCTCTAGTCCACTATAAACAGAAGTGATTCAATTTATAAACAGCAATGATTAAGTTAAATTCATTAGACCTAATATTGAGTTGCAGTTTAATTAAACAATGACCAGGTATTGAAACACGGGATAATTAACAACAAGTTGCACGAAAAGAAATATACCTACTGTATTTGAATAAGTTTTATGAGGTACTAACTTTACCCATAACATCAATATTTATTCATTTAAACCGTAGCCTGTTCTCGTAACAGTAGTCGCGATCAAGCGTCAAATAGACACTCCTCTGTATTTATAATATTAGTATAAATTTATACAGTTTCAATATCATCATAAAATTTTACATAGCATATTTAGCTAACGAATAATCTACTGAGACTAATTTGTACAACCTGTATTTATTACTTCAAATATATGTATAATGATTATATTAGACAGATCATACCTCTAGTAATAAGTTTTGAAACTGTTTTGATTCATGGTACCTCACATTGCTCTCTATTTTTTTTAACTAGTAGGTATAAGAAATTAATCTTGAAAAGTATAGACTCACTTGACAAACTGCGACCATTTTCTTCAGTAGCGATGGACTAGCTTGTGCGAAATGGGTCATAGTAACACCTTCATAGTCCACCATAATCTTTGTACCAATCACTGTCGCTGCATCATCTTCCATCAACACGATCTGAACGGAACATATATTTATAGTGCTTGAATGTTTTAGAAACATTGTATTCAGATTTTTTAAATTAATATTTATTTAAAATTACTCAGTTAATTCATTATTAAATAATACAATTTTTATGCAGGTATTAGAAAGTTTTTGAGGTCTAGATAGGTATATTTGGAAGAGTCTTCTAAACAACTACAAACAAAATTTTATATATTTAAAAACATTACTTTCGTCAGATCTTGCATTTTACTAAAAAATATTTTTATATTTATAAGATATATATATATATATATATATACCTATATAAGATTATCAGAAAAGAAATGAGAGATTCCTTAGTAGTTTTCAAATATGACTCTTTGGACTGAATATTTTCTATGTATTTCATAACTTTGTTAAATAAAAAAGATTTAAGTACGAGTATTAAGTTTAGGCTGTTCTTAATATAGAACTAAATGGTGCTGTGTCATGTTGTAAAAAACAGGCCCAAATAAAAGAGAGTATTGACAAGTCATTAACAATAAAACGGCTGTATCTGTACAAACCTGTACTAAGTAATATAAGACACACATGATATCAGCAACATTGTTTTTCTCAGGGTCGTAAGCACCGGCTCTGATAAGAATGACTCGCGGGTACAACCCGTTCTTCACCTTTGGTAAAACTACACACGTCCTGGAAGATATAGAAATATGACATTTCATTCGCTGATATTTCTCCAACTGTTAAACCGTGTCAAGATAACAATATTCTGTAAAGAATATTCTAACAAAATAAAAAGTAAATAGCATATTCAGACATTGATCGTGGACCATGGGGCCTGGTTACATTGATTTTGTTCCAAAATACTAACTTATCACAGGTTTGATCTACTTTTTTAATGACTAATTCTTATCGCTGCGAATGTAACAGATAAATACAGCAACAAACGGTATAGAGACAATTTTAATTGCATTCGGGTATTTCATAAATAAACTGATAGCCTTTATTGACCTAAGCTGCAAATGATGATTGCAGTTGTTTTTAAATATACTAGAAAGAAACTATAAAAGAATAGGTTAAGTAAACATGTGTTTATCTAAGAATGGAAAGAAAAATAAATTATAGTTATATTTAGTAAAAAAATCAATGTAATAAAATATATATAAATTGTATTCAATTGTAATTATGATAATTTAAAGAAATGTCATGGTAATGAACTAACTAAGCAATACGATAAAGAATAAATGAACGATAGGCAAAGATAGGTCGTCTGTATAAAAGTATAAGGTTTACAAATATATAATACATTAATTTTTGTTTTATGACTGAAATGAGATCAACTTATCGCTCCACCAGATGGTAAGTGGTAACCATCACTGATATACATGCACTATGGACATCATGTTATCACGTGACACCCATACCATGGCTGAGGACAAAGATGTCATTCCTATTAACCTGTAATTTTACTGCCTTATCCCACTTACGTTCGACCGAAAAAGGCGTACAAAGCAAGCTGCTTTGTAGCTAAAATATGTAAGACCGAGGTGTCTATGCTGATCACTATTTATAAAATATATACCTCGAGAAAAACATTATAATTATTAAAAAGTATTTCAGTGGGAAGTGAAACGGTACTATTATTAGTACTGTGCATCTATTTACTAACGACATTAATAATATAAATATCACAATGATACAAAGCTATATTGTTGATATAATTACTTAATAAATATAATTAGTGTCAGTATGTGTACTAATCTATACCTAATTTTTGGATTGATTATTTTTTTTTGTAGGTAAATAATTTTTACCTAGTAAAGAACTTACATTTGTTATTTAGTCAAGTAAGCATTGTACAATTTTAGTCCAATTATGTCAAATAATTCATTAATATTAATGTGTCAACTAATCTATAACATATATCTACTTACGTTAATTACAATATTTGCCTATAGTGAAAGATAATTAATACCTATTTATTAATACCCTTATTTTGTACATTCATTATTTGATTACAAGAATAATAGTGTAATGGAATTATTATTCTAATAACAAAAATATTAATAAATGACAGATGAAATAACAAATTCCCGTCAGTTTGTCTAAAAAAAGTACTAGTAATACACACGTCAAAAGAACCAAGGGAACGAGGTTTGTAACGAGTTGCTAGCAATTATTGTTTGAAACAGAGCAAAATTCATGATTTTTTAAGCGTTGCAGTAACAAATGAAGTTGTATGGTTGCATGGTATGGTTAGCCTGATATTGCAACTGAGAAATAATTTAATTTTATATGGGCTTTTATATAATGCAAATTTTAATCTATTTCAAATAAGTGTTATTTACAATTTATTTGTATTTTTATTACAGGAGTTATTTAGTCGTTAGGACCGTCGACAACTCTTTTGTCGATAATGATTAACTATTTGGTAGTTTGTTTTCTTATGATTCAATGCTGAATAGAAATGTAAAACTTATAAATAAATACGGATGACTATGTAATGTCTAAATAGAAATCAATAATAAACTATGTTTTTACTTTACGTACTGTGAAAGAACTAATATTTTAAAAAGCATATGAATCAATCACCACCATACCCGGTTTATTATCTACTATTGCATCAGTTTATAATGAAATAGCTTTCGCACTACCCATGGTATGTCGATCGATATTTTTTACCTGTAAGGGATACCTTCCTTATATTTTGTTCGTACAAACAACACAATTCATACAAACAACTAGCGTTCAATTCAGACTCATCGCTTTTTACTAATTTTTTCCGTTTTCATAATTATTTTTTTATTTTAATATGTAATGGAGTGTAGTATGTTCTATAATAATTTAAAAAATGCATTTTAAGTGTTAAAACAACGAAGAATAATTAATCATTAATCTGCTAAAAATATTAATTTTTCAATTAGAAACTTGACTGACTAGGTTGTCTACAAACCTGTGTTTATAGACAACCTAGTCAGTCAAGTTTCTAATTCTTCTAATATATTTAATAAAATATATTTAAAAAACTACCAATAAAAATTATAACCTAAATAATGTTTACATACCCAACTCTAAGAAAATCGATAAATTTTTGCTCACTGGGCTTTATTCTCAAAGTTATGTCAGGACTGGTTGTTCTTAATGTGTAATACAAATCCAGCTTCTTCTTTACTCGTTCTAAACTGAATTTACTGCCCCTCAGAAATCCTATCAGCCATTGATCATCTGAAAATTTATAAATTTAAAATAATTATATTTACATGTAAAAAATACAGTGTGTAAGATCGCTACCAATATATTATACTCTATATTTACATATACGCATACGTAGATATATTATATTTCACGGGTCTACAATCTACTAAAATTCTTTCCACACATGTTGTAAAGAGAATTAACAAGTAACGATTCCCATTCACCGTTGGGGTAGACAATACATATCCACATACGGTGATCGGCTAAACATCTTATTAGATAGAGAGGTTTATGGTTTTTAATAAACTCTGTCCTTGTTCCATTTTCTTTGTAAGTATCGTACAAATATAGAAACATTCATCTGGCTAGATGATATGGATTACCGGCGACATATAATAACGTAATATGTTCGAAAAAAATAAATCTACAAATTTTCTAACATCACTAACACAATATTTTATTGTAATGCTCATTTCGATTTAATAACAGTAATTTATTTTAATTAGTTAAATTCAATTATCATGGCTTTTTGTTCCTTAATATTTTTAGTATAACCTAAGGAGTTATGCTAAATCTTACCAGTGTATGCAATATTCACATATTTTAATTAGTAACATATTTATCGAAAAATATATAATAATTTATAATAGTTATTATAATTGGGAAAAAATTACACATATCTTGATAAAATATAATATAATATATTTGATTAAACTAAATGTTGTGGCTATGTTTATGTAAATAAATTATAACTTTTTTACCACTCACCGATTCTAGCTTTCAAATGTGGTTGCTTTGATATCCAATCCTTTAAATGTTGTAAATCATCGTTAATTCTTTTCGGTTCTTCACTTAATTCATCTTTTGCTATTTTAGCCAATTCTGGACTAAGTTCGCGTATCATTTTTATCTCTGCTGCCGTAGAATTGTATATCTGTATAAATACAATTATACTTATATATATTTATAAACTGTTAGATATGGATAGATATGGATACTAAAAATGCTAAAGCAAAATAATAACATTAAATATTTAAAATTAAAAATAATTGAATGAAAAAATACACCTTTACAAATAAAATAAAACTGTTTAACACGACTGACCTCACATACCTTGCGGTTAACCGTGGGCGGTACGAAGCACCGTCTGACTGATAATACATATATGCCAATGCTGTTATCAGTACCGGCGAGGTGTGATACCAACTCACTCGTCAATATATTTACCACTTGTTACATTGATCCGCAGTCGGATCGTAATAGAATGACTAATATCATACTGAACATAATAATGAAACAGTTTTTTTCAATGGAATGGTGCCACCGCCTGCGCTAACGATATACTCGTACACTGGCGGGGCTCTAGTAGAAAATCATAGGTTAAGTATGAAGTAGAAATTAGAATAAGTTTGTAACACCTGTATATAAACTACTTAATTAAATGATAAACTACAGGCAGCCACAATACATATTTTCGCGGAGCAAAAGAAAAGGAGAGAAAAAAACGAAGGTGTTTTCCATAGACGGACAGTCTATGAAAAATATGAAGTTAGGTCACTTTATCTATAGTATCATTTCATCAGGAATGTAGAAATCAACCCGACATAGTACGTCGCTTTCAATGGAGCCGACAGTCTCCATTATTGGAGGGATAGGATTTTTAATATAACACGATTATTATCACAAATGTAGTACTCAGAAACAATGTCAAATGTCGATGTTGTTGTGAATGCAACACTTGACATACCTATATTTCGCAGAACATATTTTGAATTCAACCACTGCTGGCTGGGGGCGACATTACCGCCTATCTTTCACAGATTGAAAACAAGACTTATGTCTCGTACTTAAACCGAGATCTTTCATTTTTGAGCAATAGCCCAAAACCCCCAATAAAAAAACACTGGAGAGTCTATCAGAAATATAAATTGACATACAAAGCTTTCTTTTTGGATACTAAACCTATATTAGTCGGATTGTTGGGTTTTTTGGTAGTTTTTGTTTTAATTAGTAAGTTTTAGTCGTTTTAGATTAATTTACAATACCTTGTTCTGTGCACCAGAAGTGAAATTTACATATGTTCAGGAGTTTCCACTCAGTTATGACAGTAGTATAGGAATAAATCGATGATGTTATCCATGTCATTAATTAAAATTATGTTGTTGATTCTCTAAAAAAATTAATGATCTAATACTTGAAAGAATATCTGGAAAATTTAATGATGTTGGGTCAAGTAACATGCCTATAGTAACGCCTTTATAACATAGCTAATTATATTAGCTGCAACAATTTAACTGTTGAACTCGTTATGTACCATTTAGTAACTTCTTAATACTCTCTGCAGCTTCGAATTCGTGTACATATCTAAAAATGTAATGATAAGTAATAAATTTGAATGGTTTTACTGTTTGAGCAAAAGGCAAATAAAATCATGCAAATTTCTTTCCAACAAAATGAGCAAATACCTTTTCACTCCTTCAGTAGTAACTTAAAAGTGATATTTGATATACATTATATCAAATATCACTTTAAAGTTAGGAATGGACACCTACTCAATAAAATATATCCTAAACAAAATAAAGTGCACACTAATAATATAAACATACAACTTTCCAGTAGGTAAATAGAATAAAGTTCTAAACATTCATACATTCATGGAATATAATATAATCATTGTATTACATGTTATATAACTGAGTTGTTTCATCATACAAAACTCGATGAATGTTTATTGATTAAACAAATTTACAAACAAAACTAAATCCAAATTAAATTTATCAGATGTTCTAAATGTTTTGACTTGACGCCTCATTATCTATAATGGATGTGTTGACAATCATAATCTGGGCTTTATTTGTGAGCATTCATATTTCGTCGAAATATTATTAATTTCGAAACACAAGACGATTTTTTATGAACTTAGAAGCAGACATGGACTCAGTTTTTAGAGGTTTCTTTATCTTTTTATATCATGCATTAAAAAAGTATCATTTGAATTTCTTGTTTATTTCTCACTATTATTAGATACTATTTCTCGGAGTCAAAAATATATTTAGGTATAACAATTATATACTTAGTATCGAGTACAGTAGCTGTATCATTTTAACAACTGCTACACACAAGGATTCAAGTAATAAATAGCACTTATTATCAGGATAAACGAAGAAAATATCTAAAGAAATTATTATGTTTGAATATGGATGCTTACAAGAGTAGGGGAAGAACTATAAAGTGATGGATGGACTGTGCCAAAAATAATACGGCGAGAAAGGGAATAAAAAATGAGATGATGGCAAACAGAGATGAATGATATGGAATAAAGAAAGGGAGATCAAAGATCACCCTAATTCATTAGACAAATAATATTTGAGTTTGTAACTTTCTCAATTGACACAAAACATACAGGCAACTTAACGCACACGCTTTTATATATTATTTTGATGCATTAAGTTTTTTATAACATATTTATTTCATTTAATCCCTGTAGTCATTTGTAGTTCCTTCCTTAACTACTGTATTAATATCACGCAATTCAATCTTTACCCATAATATAAAAAAATAGTGCAACAAAAAAAATGTTATCTACCGTGTCTATGTATTCGTTACTATCATAAAAATGATATGTCTTTAATAGATAATGATTGTCTATCTGCCTAATTGCTAACCAACGTCAATATTAAATACATTTACCTTGTACATCATGTGTGTTTTATGTTTCATTATCAATACTAATTTTCTTTTGCATTTTTCAATGTCGTAATATACCTACCTACATTACAGTAAAATGCAGGTTATCTTGCATTGTTTCAATTAATCATGCAATGTTACTTATTAAGGTAGTCAGGAATGAAAAAGGGAACTGAATCAGAAACATGGCCATAAAACTCTTGCTTTACTCACTGCCTTTTATGGCACGTCATGCATAGATGATGGGTATTTATAGGTCATAACGAATGTATACTATTGACGTGTGTTTGAGTTATTTGTGAGTGTTGTTATTAACAAACATAGAGTCGGTTTTATTTGTATCTTTGAGGCTCTTTTAAAGCGTAACTATGAGTAGGTACTACAGCGAAATACATATATTCATGAGAGATAAAAATTAATGATAAGTAATACTTTGTCGATGAAAACAATTTATTAAATTTCTACTTCCAGTCAATGTTGTCCAATGGTTACCTCACTGAATATTTGTGATCTCACAAAATAATATAAACCCATTAAGTAACAATAGTCATAGACATTTATTTAAAAACAATGCTAATTGTGTATAAAATTGCTAATTAAACACAAAAAGATTAAATACAAGAGTGATTAAAATTAAATTAATATTATACAAACAATTAATGCTAGATATTTTAAATTTATCCCAATAAAACAGTGTTTTGTATAGATAAATTTTCGTTATTGAAACAACAACAGATAAGAGAATATTAAACATCTTCTTATTTGGTACAAACACTACTACTGTACTAAAACTAATAATAATATAATAATATATAAGGACACATCAACCACTTTTTATTTGGTTACAACTGTTATCATATTTATCTCCTTCTCGTTAATCAAATTCTAATTGTCTAAAGGAACCATCTAATCCAAACACATCTTCCGCAGTCTTTGGTTTCCCAGCTCTTTTGGACTCATCAGTACCATATTGACGATCATCTTCTAGCCATCCACTATACGCTTCTATCTTCTTAATCCAATAATCTGTTTACAATATGACGTTAGCAATATTAGATTAGCGATTATCACTTTGTGACATTATTTAGTTTGTGACGCATGATATGTAACCAAATATAGAAATTAGTAGTCTCTGGTTACTGATATTTAAAAGTATTTTAGTAAGTACGGTAAACTGTCAGACATAGGTGTTTATTTTTATATATCGGTTTGTTATTTATTGTTAACACAATAAATATTTGTAGATAAGAAACGTCCGAAATATAATAGATCTACATAGGATGCATAGTAAATAAATATATAAATAAGTGTATAAACATGACACAAAAAAGACAAAATGACGACCTCAGTGGTCTAGGGGTTTAGCACACCTCCTTACTTCCGATGGCCGCAGGTTCGATTTCTTGCACGGTACAAACGTTTGTATTCTAGTCTGGGTATTTTCTATAAGCAGTATAATATGCATGTATTTTCATATTACCTATGTCTGTTGCCTAGTACCCATAACACTAACATATGTCTAGATGGCGCTGGGTGAATTATCCTGAGATATTATATTATTTGTAAACGAATGAGTGTATGAAAAACTAAATAATAAAATAAACTTAATGAACTTAACCTTGATGTTATTATACAAACCGATTATTTCCTGAGCTGTGCCTCCGCTCCCTCCATACTCGACTGGTAATATTTCTTTAGGCACATGCTTATATAAGTCATCAAAATTTTTATTGTGCACGTGCAACTGAAAATAAATACAGAGATTCTGTGCAATTAATATAGCTTTAGTGCAGATCTTAGGTAAATATCTGCACAATAGCCTATAACTTATGTATTTTCCAATCTTTTTTTTCCAATGAACATTATATACAAACAGATTAATATACATATATATAAAATCATTACCGTTCTTGATGATTCATTATTAAAATGAGATAATATAAAAAAAAAATTAAATTAAAAAATATACATAGATTCTAAATTTATAATATAAAGAGTATATAGCAGTACGTTTCTTTTGATTCTTATAAACTTAGTAGTTGTGTCCTTGCAACACATACAATACAAACAAATAACAATTTTTAAACTAGATGTTTTATACTTAATTGAAACATCTTGGACTTTGCATTTACACAGTTCTGTTGAAGATCAAAATTACTACCAGTAAATTCATAAAAAAAGTAAGGCTCAAACATATTAACTGTTTCAGTGTTCAGCTCTTTAAATCTGAAATGACCAATTATTAATTTGTTTAAAATTTAATTCCAATTCTATTATATTTAAAATCATTACAATCTTAAGATCGACTCATTTAGACTGTCTTATAAATGTTTAATGTACTGTATAAAAGTGAAGATACATACTCGGCTTTTGTATTTTTCGCTCATAATTTTTTTTCCAATACTGAAAACAGTTTCGAAGCCCGGCGGCGTGCTCAGGTAATGTGCACTTTTTAATCGAGCTGGTGATGCATCCTGAAGGTTCAAAGTCATATTATCAATATTAATATATTTCATTAACCAGCATAATATTTTTTTATAAATTTGAAATGGCAATCGACCCCGCATCTCACTCAATAGAAAGCGGTACCCAACAGCTATTTACATTAACAGCACCACCTATTATGACTTACTGTTTCTAAAGATTATGTTGTTACGCCTCTATACCCTGTGATATCACCGCTGCCGTAGCTGACGCACCAAGCAAGCAATTTGATATCTGAAGCAGGTTACACTAAAAAGAATGTACTTCTGTTTTCTTTGGAATGGCTTGATGACTTGATAATTAAATGATTAGGGTAAAACATACCTAGTTTTTCCTGTTCTCCCAAAAACATATTGTAATGACATTTTGTTGAAACGTTAATGCAGTAAGGTATTAATTAAACTAACTTTACCATTTAATTTTATAAGAGCATGTACCTGGCCAATGACCATCAACTTTTTTAGAGTAGTTGGTGTTATTTGTATAAAATGGTTCATACAAGCTCCTTCCAAATCCAAAATGTGGCTAATACCAGATACCACTAGAGTATCATCCTCTAAGTATAATATCTGAAACATAATAGCTTATATCCAGTTAAAAAGATAACTACCTAGACCTACTAGCGTTCACTAAAAATATTTGTAATATAGCTACATAAATAGAATAGTAGTAAAATGGAGGGAATGGAATAATTTACTTGTAGATAATAATAATCCCATTTCTAGGTGTAACATTGAGCAACATTTCAAAAGTAACATATATCTGCCATTCTATGACATCTTTCATCTACCTGCCATTGAATGATTAGTTACATCATTATTTATTTGTTTATTATGATGAATAAATTTGTGTATTATGATATGTATGTTTATTAATATATATTTGTATATCTATTTATGTCCATGTATATTACTTTTATATAGATTATACAATTTGATATTTGTATTTTATTTAGTAGCGTTTGACATTTTTTTTGCACCAGTTATTACCCACTCAGTACCACCTATGCCACTGTTTTAGGTTGACTGGAAGAGATCTCTTCTAGGAATAAGTACAAGTTTGCTCACATTATCTATAAATTATAATATCTTTGTATTGTCTCTACAATAAGGAATATTATATACTCGGTAAATACCACTAGAATCAATGCAAAATATCCTAGTGTATTTAAACATAAAAATAACTTCAAATGATATTTACCTGTTGTATAACTAAACTTAAAGCCAATAATTCAGTCACGAAGTATTTGTTTGGGTCATATTCACTTGCCCTCACTATAATGACCCTTGGATCCGTGGTCTTCAAAACTTTAGGAAGAACTAATATGACCCTGTAATATAAAATACTAACAGATTGATGACACCCTTCATTATGTAAAAACACTTTTGTATTTAATTTATATACTGAAGGGCTACATTTTCAATAGAGAGTAGTGATACCCTTCATTAGGTAAAAACACTTTTGTATTTAATTTATATACTGAAGGGCTACATTTTCAATAGAGAGTAGTGATAGTGAATACCTATATGTCAGGTCGATCTCCACGTGGATCCTTCTGGAAATCATCAATAGACTACCTGATCTAATGTAATGCTCTATATCTATCTCTAGCGCAGAGGGGTAGGTACACCATGCCATTTGGATCCATTAAAAATGGATACTATTTTGTTTAGTCATAAAAACAACAATAATTTTCTTGTTCAATGAACAACTTCACACATATAAATTATATGCAGCAATATAGCCATAAATACACACATATACCTACACATGACGTGCGCGTATATATATATTATTATATATTACTATTTTTTTTATTGATGATGATGAAATGGTGCACCCGCCTGCTCTAACGGTTTACGCTGGCGGGGCACCAGTGGAGGATGATAAGATAAGAATGAGGTCAGGTCTGTTAGCCCATCGTAACAAATTCAGCAAGAATTTGTCACGATGGTTTCCAGGGGGAACCGCGTGGAGGTTAACCTGACATGGTACAATGACAGCAATATAATCATCAGTCCACATTACTAACCATCCCCTTTCCCCAATATATTACTATTACATAAATGCAAAATATTATTATCATCTCTGATAGCCGTAACAATGTTAAGTTCACTTGCTATGACTTTCGCGATACAGGCATAGCCTAATGTGGTTTATTGACGAAATGTATATTAGTTAAATCCTAAATAAAAGTTTTTTAAAAAGACAAGTAAGATTTCATTCAACCTAATCAATACATTATAAAATATCACCACTGAACCCTGTTTTGAGTAACTCCATAAATTTGCTGTCCGTGTGTTTTAGACTGAACAAATCCGGTGCTGTACTTCTTAACGAATAATAAATATCAATCTTCTCCTTCGCAAGTTCAAGACTGTGTTTGCAACCCCGCAAAAAAGCTGCCAGCCACTGATCGTCTACAAATAATAAAAAAATATTTAATATTATAAATACGGAGGTCTCTCTAGTCGGATATAAACTATCATTGCTCTAAAAGAAAAGCTGACGAAGTCGCGGATATCAGCTAGTTATATATACTATCTTCTTATACGAAACAATTTTCTAAGTAAATGTATCTTTATTAGTAAATTAATGTGTCTATATCTATATTACATTTTATTAAAATATTTCATTGAAATTACTAATCGTGATCGGATAATTTTTGATTCGATCAAATTATATCTCACTAACCGTCACAAGAATAAAACTACGATATTATCTAACTTAATATACCTAATAGGTTTTTTACAGAATATTAGAAATAAAAATAGTTTCACTACCAGTCTTAGTCATTCTTGTACATTCGCGTAATACTTACTTTTTAATTAAATTAATATCGACATGGTATACCATATCTATAGTTATATTGTCATAGTAGAAACTCGTTTCAAATAACACTGTTTTATAAATTACCAAATATTTATGTTAATTGTAAGTTAAGTGTATACCAAGAAAATCAACAAATAAATTAGTTAGCACTTTACTTCCTTAATTTTTATTTCATAAAGCAATTTCATTCATTCAAAATACATGATTTTTCCTGATTATATAAATTTTCGTTTTTTTTTAAGATTATATATCTCAAACTGTTACCTGTTCTGGCACGCAAATGAGGCTGTTTTGCAATCCATTCCTTCAAATGCATTATTCCATCTTCGAGACGTTTAGGGTCTTCATTCAATTCTAAACGCGCCTTTTCAATAAGTTCCAAAGATAAGGGTCGAACCGCCATATTTATAAATAATAGATAAAATCTCAGATTTTATAGTAATTGTAAAGAAATTGTAAATTAAATTCTAATTTTTAAAAACATAAAGACTGAAACAATTCCTGGCAATCCATTTATCAACACTTATTTTGTTCCGGATATTCACAACAGATTGCCAAATACAGGTGTATGTGAAATAGCCAATCGTTGACTGCATAATGTACTGAATCCTGCATACAGTGAACATAATGTTGCAACAACAAGCAAAGCAGCAGTACTTTCTGTTAACGTACATCAACCGTGACTTTGAGGTAAGCGATGCAAGCATTTACTCTTAGGTCGAATACACACTAAGTATATGAATATTGAAGTCAGATATTATATAGAATAGAATATAAAAACGTTTATTCAAATAAACTTAATTCTATTTAAGCACTTTTGAGTAGTCACTGTTATCCTCCTACGGAAGCTGTCTCTTCACAAGAAGAACAATCAAGAAACTTGCGAGTTAATATATATGTATCTCCTTCTATCTCACTCAGAACATATTGGAATATACTATAATATGAAAACTTAAAAGAAATATAAATGCTTATTTGATATAATAATAATAACCTCAGGACAATTCACACAGCGCCATCTAGACCCAAGTTAAGCTAGCTGAAGCTTGTGTTATGTGTACTAGACAACTGATACAAATACATAGATTTTTTTTTCGTAAATACATACATATTATACATAGAAAACACCCAGACCGATACAAACAATCATACTCATGAATACGAATGAACACTCGGTAAAAGAAATAGACCAATGAGGCTTCAATATAAGAATATAAGAATGTATATAATGAAACATTTTATTTTGTAACCAAAATATTTTCTTACGGGACCTATTACTTAAACATGTGTTATTAATATTGCACTGTCCCAACATTGTATCCAAATTTAAAAGAAAGGAAAGTATCAGAGGACATTATTATAAACAATTAAGCATTGTCTTAGTATTAAAAATACGTGAATCATTCTTGCAGTCTATGGTTTGAAAGACTTCCATCATTTAATATTACAACAAAATAATGTTATATTAACAATGTCTAAACTCCAAGTATGCGTAATAAAAGTATATTTACATATCTCTCTATGTTGTAAAATATACTAGTGGAAATAAGGTGGTATATAAGCTAATAATACTGTCATCCAGAACTACAAGGCTACAATAACTTGTTCCTATAGATATGGCGATAAATGGCCACAATACGTATTTTTGAATCTTGAAGCGTGATAAATTAGTATTTAGTTGCCATAACGATAAAGAAACATTTTTGTAGATGCTTCATGTTAAATATTTTATTACATACTCATAAATATATTAAAATTATTTATTAGTGCTATGAACTGTGATCATTTTAAGTGTTGGGCTTCATAGCGGCATCGTCAGTTGGTTGAAGAATGACTCGTCTCTAACTAGTCCCTGACTAGTCTAAGGGTGCATCAGTCATATATGTATAATTGTAGTTATATATTATACATACCCTTACATTTCTATAAACCAGCTTTATAATTACTAAAGTGCATTAATTACAAAAGCACATATCTAAAGGAAACATGTATTGTTTTTATCACGTGGTCAAATGTGTATCGAATTTCTGCAGATATGTGTTCAAACCTTATAAATTTTATCGGGCGCTAACGTTACGTTAAACCTAGAGCCTCTTGACCTACCTATACATATGATAAGTGTAATTATGTCAAGTTACTTAGTGATGTTACATTTCACCGAGGTAAAAATATAAATAAAAAGTCTGGTGGTTATCTTCGTCTCACCAATTTCAGCCAAGAAGCAGTTTGCTTTGTTACGTATGATTCGGTTGAAGGGTAAGATAGATATTACAGGATATGGAGGCATGACATCGTAGTTCTCGGCAATAGGAACGCATGGGTACATCACGATGGTTAGATATACCAATGAAAAAGTCAGTGATATTATTTATAAAAATCCGTCATCCAAACTGTGCAGTAACGATATCAATTTTGTACGACAAAATTAAATTTCAAATGATTTTCCACTTCATTTCGGCTTACTCTTTACTGTCAACCGTGTAGGTATATAAACTATTTATAATTTGTCACGTATATACAATGACATATTGTGGTTATTCTCCATCAGGGACGATCTGGAAATTTCCGGTCACCTCTATTTTAATTATTAGTTAAAAATAGTAAAACTAGTATAAATCAGTTTAATTATATACAGCAATATCGGATAATTAATATAAAAACAATGTATTTTTTTTCTTATTTTTTTCATATAACTAAATCTTTATTTTCAAAATATTACCACCATTGCTACCCTTTTGCCACTGGGAACATAAAGAAGAGACAAACTTTTGTTTACGAATTCTACACATACAATTTTATACTACCCACTACTATTGCACCTGTCTTGTTTGTGAAGTATCGCAATTTATTTTTATATTGAGTTACGATAAAACAATACCTTTATATAGAATATATGATTTACATACAAATATAATTCTTCTTTAAATGTCACTAAAATATGCCAATCATATTCCAATAATTATTTAGCGACTGATAAAGTTTAAATGATGTACGTTCAAACTTCGTTCTCATCAAAACTTTTTCAATCACTGAATAATAATCGTTGACCTATAATATGCATATTTCCATATTTTAATGGTATTTCTATTATCATATTGTCAATTTCGTGATCGTGCAAAAATCTGTCATTTAGCCCGAAATGGTTTTGCTGTTTCTTATATCATGAAACCAACTCGGAAAATTATTTGAAACTGCATTTTGTAAGTAGTTTATAATAAATAAAAAGTTTATGCAGTAAAAATATGTAAGTAGTGTATCCAGTTCCATTACATTTATTATAATATTATCTATATTATAATAAATGTAATTTAACCGGACCTTTACACTTCTAATTGGGATACTTAACATTTTTTATGCATTATTTGATCATTATTTTTATCGTTTTCTCATTTTAGGTATATTTTCTACCTGATCTATAATTTTATGTATATTAATATTCTAATGACAGTGAAAAAGAATGGCCATTAGACAGTATACTGACTAATGGCCATTCTTTAATAAACAGTTTTCAGAACAATACCGTGTCAGCTTGTCTTTATTTCTTGTCCTATTGGTAATATTTTTAAAACACATTTTTTTAAGGTTTTGTATTTTATGTTGGGCTAAAAAGGACTTGTATCCAGAGCCGTAAAATATTAAATAAAAAAATAACATTTTTTTTTGGGCATTCTATTTTATTATATATTTTTATAGTATAATTTATTGTTATCTGGTTTACCGGTCACATATTAGTTAGAAAGAAAGGAAGTGAATAACGAGATGACTGCGAACAGGGATGAATGCAAGAGAAAAACATATTACGCCGAACCCATATAATGAGATAAGGAAGAAACAGATGATGATATTATCTGTTGGAGATATACCCTGAATGTACCTGTTTATCTTTAAACATAAATTTATTTCTTCGAACATTATATTCTTAGTAAAAATTAAAATAATGATTATTTAATCAAACTCGAGTTTTCTGAAAGTGCCATCTAAACCAAACAAATCTTCAGCAGTTTTCGGTTTCCCAGGTCGCTTGGATTCATCCACGCCAAATGTGTCGTCTTCCTCTAACCAGGCGCTGTAATCTTGGACCTTTTGCCTCCAATAATCTGAAATGTGAGTTTTAAAAAATACAATAATAACACACTGATATGCATATATATTATGTGCAACGATTTCTTAAATAAGACGGTAATTTATATAAATTAAAATAATCTCCGTAAAATTTATTTGAACATATTTTAAATAAAAAATGAGGGATGGAATGTGACACAATCCGTTGAGTGATTAATTCTTCAATATATTAATAAAACATTAACAATCACTACCATCATACCACCATAATCCTACCATTTCAAAATTATACACGATAAATTAATTAGACAGTAGGAAGTTCTTCGGGGCGTCAGTTAGTTTAAAATAAACCACCTTCTCAGCCAGATGGTGTGTAGTATGTGGTAATTTTCATTTTCTTAACATACTATAGCATAGAATCAGTTATAACTTATTCACTACAAGAATTTTAGCGTTGCAGAAATATCTTTATTCAGAGGGTTTACATTCTTCACATTCAGACTTTTAGAATATCTACACACATAACTAAATGTTGAATAGAAACACTGCAAATTGAATAAACACATCTTATGTGGTTCTAACCAACTCAAGCATAAACGAAAAATCTCCTTTTGAAAGTATATCCTGAGGAGATAAAACCATCACTCCTAAGAATATCCTTCAATTCTTGTGGTTCACGGATCTTTGAATAAGGGCACTCGGCCTTAACATATAACACTGCGACGTGTACAAATCTATGTAGTATATGCGAGCACAAGATCTATACAGGTCGTAGTGTTATAGGTAAGTTATACAGGTCTTAGCACCTGACAATAGCCCACACCTCCCAATAAAAAAAAAACTTAAAAATACGTGACTCACTTAGGATTTCTGCAATAGTGCCACCATTTCCACCATACTCAGCAGGCAATACATCTTGAGGAATGTGCTTGTACAATTCATTAAAATTCTTGTTATGAACATAAAGCTGAAGAGGAAATTATATTTAAAATAAGTAATAAGTATAATTAAAGGATTGATAATACACAATAAATCGAAATCTAACCAGAATTAGTTTAAATTATTAGTTTAAACGTTAATAAGGTTACCTATTATTATTATTAAAGGCAAAGATTTAGAAGTATTTCAAACGTATTGTAATATGTGTATTATTTTTATTATTGTATTTTTAAGCAGCATCGTAAAATAATATTAGGATACTGTAAGCTTTGTCCATAGAAACTTTAACGTGCACGACGTTAAAGTTTAGACGACAAAGCTTACAGAATGCTAATATTTTTTATTTATGAAATTGGTACAGCGACTGAGAATCATATGGGCATTTTCGGTTCGTCATCGTCG